TTGGCAAAATCGCGAGCGGAACGTCTGTAGTAAGCGCACAGCCCAAGAAATCTTCCTACGGCTTTCTTGTCTGATGGCTTCGGCAATGCAGCGACAGCGGATGTCTTTGCCGGGTCAGGGCTTACACCCTAAGCACTCACGACACGGCCCAGGAATTTGAGCTCGCCGTAAGCGAACTGACATTTGGACGGCTTGAGTGTCAGTCCAGCATTCTGGGTAGCCTGTAGCACGGTTCGCAAGCGTCTCAGGTGCTCGTCGAAGTCGCTTGCGAATACCATGTCGTCGTCGATGTAGACGAGACAGCTTTGCCATTTCAAGGTTGAAAGGGCGATATCCATTACGCGCTGGAAGGTCGCCGGTGCTGTGCACAGTCCAAACGGCATCACTTTAAATTTGTACAGTCTGTCCAGCGTGACGAAGGCAGTCTTTTCACGATCCCGTTCGTCGACCTCGATCTGCCAGTACCCACTTTTCAGGTCCATCGACGAAAAGTATCGGGCGTGGCGCAGCCGGTCCAGAGTGCCGTCGATGCGGGGCAGCAGGTGCACGTCCTTTTTTGTTACGGCGTTCAGTCGACGATAGTCCACGCAAAACCGAAGAGTCCCGTCTTTATTTTTCACCAGGACTACCGGTGAAGCACACGGACTGTTTGAGGGCTGGAAGATGTCGTCGTCGAGCATTTCTGCAACTTGCTTCTGGATAACTTCTCTCTTTTTCACCAAGACACGGCATGGCGACCGATGAATGGGAAGCGCGTCGTCATCAGTAACAATTCGATGTTTCGCAACCGTCATTTGGCGTACCTTTGACGACGTGGAGAAGCACTCATTGAACTCGACGAGAAGGCCACTGAGTTGTCGACGTTGTGGGGTAGGCAGGGTTGGATGAATGTCGAACTGCGAAGGCGGTGTTGTCTCGTGTGGCCACGAAGGGGGGTCTTCTGATACTCCGGCGATAGCGGCCGAGCCGGGGAGTTCCTCGGCGTGACCCAGGGCGGTGCCTTTCGTAAGGTGTTGAGCCTCCTGTCGTAAGTTCGTGACGAGTGCAGCAGTGCGTCCGTCTTGGAGCTCTGCGATGCCTCTTGCGACGCCGACCCCTCTTCCTAGTAGCAGTTTGACGCTACCTTCCAGCAAAGCTTCTCCGCAGATGCCTTTTTCGGTCGCGACAGGCAGAAGTACACTCGAGCGTGGTGGCAGGTTCACGTGGTCGGAGAGTACAGGCACTGTAGCTGACGTGTATGTCGTGGTTTTGTGATCCTCGGGCATTACGACAGGCTTCCGCAGCCTCAACTCGTTGGCTTCCAGGTCAATGACAGCGCAGTATTCGCACAAGAAGTCCATTCGGAGTATAACGTCTCTCACACAGTCTCGTAGAAGGACGAACTTTACCGGACACGTCTCGCCGTGAATCTCGACGCGAGCAGTGCATCTTCCGACTGGCGTGATGAGATATCCCCCGGCGGTCCGTATGCGTGGGCCATCCTACGGCGTCGTCACCTTCCGAAGTCGTTGGGAGAGCCTCCCACTCAGGACGGAGTAGTCGGCTCCGGTGTCGACGAGAGCCGACGCGTCGTGACCGTCGATAACAATGTTTAGGTCATTCTTTACCGTTGCAGAAGCGTCGTTTCGGTCTCTGGTGGCGTTTGAGTGGGGGCCCTCCGACGTTCGTGAACGATCTTGGCGTCGGTCGTGTTCAGCAACTCCACCTCCAGGGGTTGCCGCGCCTAGTTTCCCCGGCGAGGAGGGAGGGGTGACAGGCTTTCACGTCGAGGTCGATGCATCGGCGAAGCTGGACGTCGTGGCGACGGCGACCGGGACTCTCGGCGATACGCAGGCTCGGGGTACTGAGGTCGTCGCAGGTAATCGTCGATCTCCCGAGGGCGTTCACCATAACGGGGGCGGGGGTCGTTCTGGTGGAACCCGCGCAGCCGGAGTTATCGGTATGGGCATCGGCGGTACACATGGTAAGCTTACCCGCAGTAGTAACACAGCGGGCGTCGGTAATGTAACCTTCGACTGAGGTAGGCGGGCTCCGCATAAGGCCACCGAAGATGTTTTCCTTCAGGCCGCGCATCAAGACCCGCAACTTTTTCTCTTCGGGAGCGTTTGGGTCGGCGCGATTCATTACGTGGAGAACATCTTCGACGAAGCTGGTGACGCTCTCGGTCGGCCCTTGGGTTCTCGCTCGCATTAGTTCTTCGGCACGCTGTCGTCGCTGCTGGTTGGCAAAGGTGCGTCGTAGCTCGGCCATGAATTCTTCCGACGACAAAATCAACGCTTCTTGGTTCTCGAACCATGTGCGTGCCGTGCCTTCCAGAGCCAAGTAGACATTCTGAAGGCACTGGTCCGGTGTCCATCGGTTATGGCGGGCCACTCGTTCGTAATGTTGTAGCCAATCCTCAACGTCCTCGTGGATCTCCCCGTGGAAAGGCGTCGCAGTCCGAGGTGCGACGGGCAGGTATACGACGGCAGAAGCGGCTTGGGTCTCCGACTGCTTGGCCATCGTCGTCCTCCTTCTTTGCTTGGTCATGGGTGGCAAGGGTCCTGATTCCGAGAGTAGGCCGAGGTTCCGGCGACTTGATCGGATCCCGGTCTGGTCTTCGTAGGTTTCTTGGGGGCTAGTGTTCGGACAGGCACTACGGGAACTTGGAGGGGAGCGCTACACGCACACGCGGTACCCCGCACCTCCACCAAAAATGTCACGAATGAAGAGTTGATGAAACAAAGAATAACTGAGGAAACTAAACGTTTGATGGGGCGAACTTGCGCCCAAAACAAAAAGGAATACGATAACAACAGAAGGTCGCAAGCGTCGAAGTCGGCGACACAGCAGGATCGAAAGCTGAGGCGAAACAGACTGCGTCTTGCCACGCGGAGCCCCTTTTGTACACTCGTGGGCTTCTGGAACAATCGGCGTAGAAATTTCGGCGTGTAGAACTCTCTAACCTCGAATCAGCCCCAACACGGTTCTCGAATTTACCAGAACATTACGTTAGAGTTTAACAAAAATGCGTCCCCGCGGCCAGGAATCGAACCCTGGCTTTCTGCGTGGAAGGGACCCGCGATAACCCTTAGGCTACGAGCGCGCTGCCTGCTTAGTCGGCTGCGCTCGCGGAAATATCTAAAATGTGATTACGTGCTGCAAGTCTAGTACGAACCTTTCACACAACGTCTTTGATACAGACCATTCACTGATCTGGATGGCCAAGTTCACTGCTTGAGTGACAAACAAGTCTTCCGGCCTCGTTGCTGAGAATTCCTTTTCTAAACTTTTGCGGCCGTCTTTTTTTTTTTCTTTTTTGAACCAAAACTAAACAGCAAACTATAAAGTACAAAAGTGCATTGTCCTAATACTATAGTAACAGAGTTAGATGGAGAAATGTCTCGTCCGCGTACGAAGGTGGTGAAAAAAAATATGGCGGCTTCGAATGACATAATGAGGAAACCTGGCGAGAATTTGGCACGGGGCCTATTGCTTCCCATTCACAGTATAATAAATCTTAAATAAATTTTGTGTGACGACAGGCTGATTAGGTTTGGAGCATTCGGTAATTCTGACGAAAGCTCTTCTAATAATGAATAACATGCAGTTGATACTAAGCACTTATGGCGCGTGCACAATGCTTTTAAGTTTTCATCCAGTAAACTGCGTGACTTCCGATCGTATTCACGCACTCGCTTCTCATTGTTAGGGATATATGAGTTATCCAAGCTGCAGGTAGTTCGAGCGAGAGCGAGAGCTGAAGTAGATGCAACATTCTCAAGGCTACATGAACCGGTAGGTGTGCTGTGTGTTGAAACCCATGTGGATTATTATACCCAAATACGTAGAATAAGTGATTTCCGGTAAAGGCATGATCACAATTTTACGTGATTTGTATATTATATGCCTTCAGGAGCCAGCTTTGCCCTCAGTTTGAGCTTCAGTCACTGGCAAAGGTAGACCGGCTGGACGTGTCTTTAGAACGGTCACCTCCAGCACGCGCTCGTTGCCATTCGCAAGTGTTTTTTTTATGCGTGTGCGCTTGAAGTGCCCATTTCGCCAAATGTTGTCGAAGGTAGGAAGCTAGTGCTTGAGGCGGGACAACTGAGCCTGCTCCGCGCCGTTCTTATTCTCTCAAAGACTATAATATACTTAGAAATGACGGCTTGAAGGATGATTGAAACATAATTGGTGTTATAATTATTTGTTTATATTTTAACAACCGTAAAAAAATGCCATTTGTATTTACTTGTGCCGTACAAAATGGATACTTCTATACTTCGTGTCCCCAGCTGTGTGCAGTTCAGGCGAAGGCGACGCAGGCGAAGAGAGTAAGGGCCAGCACTAGGAAGGCGGGACGGGAGAGAAGGGTGAGGGGAGAAAGGGACAGCCCTTGGAAAGCTAGAGAGGAGAGAAGGTTTTTTTCGTCTTCCCTAGCCCTCCTAGCGCTTTCCCTTTTTCGCCTCGCCTGGCGTTGCCTTCGCCTGTACTGCACGCAACTAGTGACACGGAGTATAAAAAAAGCTTTCTCGAGTACTCCGGCTAGAGGGACAAGCTCGCTCTCTTCAGACTCACAAAGAAGTTCTCCGTTATTTCTGACGTTCATTCGAACCAAAGCCGTTGGCGATGGGTAATGGGAGAATGGTAAACAAACCTCGTTTCTCTCCATGAACATTCCATTTAGGTAAATGCAAAACGTCGAAATGCACGAAGTAAAAAGGAAATCACTAACCAAGCGTTTTACTAAAATTTATATCGCAGGCTTTACCTACACACGTTGCACAACAGTAAATTTAGACGAATTTAAAGTTGTAGGTACGTTTCTAATATATTAGCTATAAACTAAAGTCATGTGTACGGTTTTGTGAGACAAACTGCGCCTATGGGCTACTCGGGAGGATTGGTTTCATTTAAAGTAAAGAAACAATCATAATATTTGGGGTACGTGGATGCACTTACTCGCCAATGGCTGATCTGCATAGCCGGCACCATCCCGGAAAGAATGGAGATGTCATGACCCACGTGGATGTGAATGTTGCAGTACTGAGCCCTGACTCGTTCTTGACCAAAGTCGTCGTTCACGACCGTTTCCACGCACTCATCATAGGCACCCAGATCGGCCGACGTCGCCTGCAGGAGTCCGGTAGGGTACTTCCCCGAAGCGTCAATTACTGAAAAACCAATGGAACATGGGCTATTACCTAAATCGAACTAACAAGAAATGAAAGACACACAACATTTCACGGTTAAGATGGCTTAACATACAAAAAAAAATGTTTCTGTAGCGGGCTTGAAATCACGCCCCTAACACATCTTTTTCTATGATAAAAATAGCAAATGAAGCGACATCAAGCAGAATTAGCTAATTAAGTTTCGCTTGTACTTTAATAATCTAAACTGTATAGTGTATTCATTTTCTTTGGACATAATTTAGGGACTAGATGTTTCTGTCGGCTTGTTGTATATAAGCTGTTTTTGGGAGAACAAGAAAAAAAAAAGAACTTTCGTGAGGATTTTTTTGCACTGGGGGCAAGTTGGGGGCCACGGAGGCCACTGGAAAAGACGGGAAATTACTTTATTAGTAAACTAATTAACTAAGACGTTTTGACTAGAGGTTTAAGTTTCAAGACATTGGTGTATATTGAAGTTAGATTATTAACGTATTACCTCCTTTTAGTCAAACTGCAATGTGTAATTTTGATTGAACGTCGGTAGCTGGCACTACCGGGCCATCATTGTAAACGACTCGAAATTAAAGCTAGCCTGGCGAAGCGGGCCTGTGACGTCGATTCCTCTGGTCTGCACCTCTGCACCGGCCCCGTAACACACCTGTCCGTGACGCAGGCGATGTAAGCGGTGCACTACAATCGCAGGGCGGAGGGATGGACATCGCAGGCGCGCTTCAGCGGTGTTCTTTTCATTTTAAGCTATGCGCAAGGATGATATTTCTTGTCCTGTAGCACCCACTACGAAGCTTTAAATCTAAATTTCAAGTCATGGCTAGACCAGACAGAGGTTGATGGTTGATTTCCTTAGCTTATGGAGCAGGTACAAGACTAGCGGCTGCAGTAAGGCTCCCGCGCAGTTTTTCCGTCAAAACGTGCGGCAGTGATGCATGTGCAACGAACGCCCACTGCCGGCAGGCGCAGCAACCGCGCGTTGCTATTTGTGTCTACGCAGCGTCCTTTTCGAGGACGCTGCGTAGACAGCCAATCCGGCACGAGCGGCGTTGCCATGCCGCAGGTCGCCCACCGTTACAAACAAGCCGCCGGGCAATCTGGCAGTACACTGGAATACGTTGGCATGTAATACATAATTAGTAGAAACTACAATGCTCGGAAGATACGCTGATAAAACTGTCTTAGAATTTTACGGCGTATTTTGTACCGGAAACCAAGAGGAAAGCCAGTGCCTTAGTGCCCCGTACATAAACCTGGCATATACAGTTTTATTTTCTAAACGAATGGTCAGAAATATGGTATTAATATTGTGTGTTTGTTTGAGTACATCTTGATTTGAGAGTGTACTTTGTCCTGTCTACTTCCTTGTCCTTCTTTTGGCGCTTTTTGTTTAGCACGTGTGACTATTTGTACCGAAGTGACGTCCGAAACCACCCACCCCTTGTTCACAGACAGCTGAAATGCTCTCTACTTAATACACCCTCATTGGTTCCAAAACACCTTAAAATTTCCGTCCGGTGTGTTACTCGGTTTAATACAAAACGTATATGCGGACTCGATGGTGCGCGCGATACTTTATCGTTCATTCAGTCCATCTGCTCCGAAATGACACCTTAGCGGCTCCGACGTCACGCCTCCGCTGCCGCTCTGTTTCACCTTACGATTTGCGTATGTGTTTACATTTATTTTCCTGATTATTTCAGTTCCGTCCACTATTGTTAAAAACTGCTGGTGCAAAAAACAATTTTGACAAAAATATAGATCTCTTATTAGATATTGCTGTCAATAACACAGAAGTCATCGAAGATATTCGAAAAAATGAATCATTGTTTTCGACGGCGATTCACTGTGTACGTAATTTTATTATTAGGGCCTGTTCTGATATATTTGTCCCTCCTTTGAAACATGTATTTAATCTACATTTTGTGAAGCGTATTTGCCGTGGCTTGTGGAAGTTTTTTTATAAACTATCCTTAGATCTGGCGTTCAGTTACTAGTTAATAATTACCGTGCCGTTTCGTTATTGTGCACTTTCGCGAAGGCTTTCTAAACGGTTATGCATAACCAGATCTATATTTATTTAAGTAAAAAAGAAAATCAGTACCATTCAGCATGGTTTTCTGAATTGAAAGTTCGTAGAAACAAAATTGTGCTCTTTTCCAGATTTGTTTGTACCGATGGACACAAACAGGGGCCGAATTGATGTACATGGTGAACCTAAACAGCGCAGAGGGCAAACCCAAAAGAAGGAACTGTCCTGTCGTGTATGTTTTATTTTTTGTCCTTGTCTTTTGATTTGCTTTTGTTCACCATGTATAACCACTACCAACTACCTTGGCTTTTAAGTCTATGCCAAATTGATGCAGTAAATTTTGACTTGACGAAGGCGTTTGACCTGGTGGATCATTTTTTCCTCCTTTATAGAGCTGTTTTTGCATGGCCTGTGCCCTAAGTTTTGGGAATGGTTCAAGAGCGACTTGCGTTTACACAGTAACGCTATTCGTGTTGGAAACTCATTTTCAAAGAGAATTTTAACAACTTAAGGCCTACCCCAAAACTGGGACCACTGTTGTTTATTTTGGTTTGCAAGCGATATAGCTTAACATGTAATGCATTAGACTGTCCTTTTTGCTTACGCCATGAAACATTCTTTTTAAATGTTAAGAAATATAGTGACTAATTTATTGCAAACGAATAGTGGTCCGATTTCCCTGTTGTGTGTATAAAATTATTTCTAAATAAACTTAAGAAAAACTATTATTTTTTTGTTAATAAAACGTAGTTTTTCTGTTCCCTTCTGTGCTTGAGGGCATGGCGATAGATCGTGTATCTCGCGTGAAAGATCTTGGCGTATATATTTATAGTACTCTTTCATTTACTAAGCATGTTTCTAAGAACATTGGTTCCGCGATAAGAATGTTGGGAATGATCACTGGTTTATCACGTTGTTTCTATCCACCAGTATGTGTCGCGCCCCTGTTCTGCAGCCTCGTATGCCCGGGACTTAAATTTTGTTCAATGAAAAGGGTAAAAAGCATAAAGAAAACATAAGGACCTTAAAGGCACAAGGACGACAGGATGGGCCCTATTCTTATCAGGTTCAATTATCTGGAACTCACTATTTTTATCCCAAGTAGCAAGTATAAAAAATGCCCAGAGAAAGCTTATTCGAATTATTTAAGACCGGTACATTGGTCAAAATTTGTTTTTAGGTTGGAATCTTTGCTATATTTACTTGGCTTGAAAGGCTTTAAAAAAGGAAAGGCTATTAAAAAAAGTTTCTTCATAAGATAGTGAATGGCACTCTTAAATCTGAGAGCTCACTTGCTAGTATTGACTTTCATATGCCCAGTGAAGCTAGTCGTCATTTCTTAACATTTATCCCCCTAAAGTGTGTGAATCATCACCATTATCATGAATGCAGTCCAATTTTAATACCTTAGGCAATTCTGAGGCAGATATTTTTCTTGGTTTTGTTAAACTTGAGTCCGCCTTGAAAAAGTGTATTTTATATGACTCAGAGCTTGTGTATCAATTGCATCTGCTCCACAAACTTGTATTCGAGTCTTCTTCCATGTTTTTGAACATTTTAATTTGTGTTGCTTTAAACACAGACTATAGCGCACCACGCACAAGGTTCCATGACTGTTTGCTGGCACCAAAAAGTGTAAAACAGTAATATTGTTATTATTACATAAAAACAACAACCTGACAATCATCCTTAGAATATCCTATCATTTAACATAATGTTCCGTAGTCATCCGCGAAAATTTGTCACGTGACTTTCTGGGGTAAACTCGTAGCGGCCATTTGTCTATCCTGAGGATGTCCCATAATATATGCCGAGTATTGGCACTAGAGCACTGCACGGCCCGGAATTTCTAGGCCCGGCCCCACCCAGCCCGGTAGAGGCACGGCCCAGATCGGATCGAGCCCGATAGAATATTCATTTCTAGGCCCGGCCCGACCCGACCCGGAAGAGACATTGCCGGGGCACGGCCCGGGCCCGGCAAAATTTTTAGACAGAAGCTTGAGCACGGCCCAAGCCCGACAAATTTTTTTTCTTAAATATAAGCCAGAGCCCGGTTTGAGCCCGACAGGTTAGATATATGAGCTCAAAAATGTTTGCAGGCTTTAACCAAAAACTGTCTAAGCATAAAGCAAGCTTATTTGATTTAAATTTCTTTTAAACTTAGACCGCGTGCTTATTTTTTCGTTTGTCACGATAAATATCCCGATTTAGGCGATGTATGTTGGAGAATATGGGCGCAATATGCACTTCATAAGTGATTTTTAAAAAAAAATAAAGTGGGCAATACTTTATTTATGCATTTCTTGAAGAGATGTTGGACTGTTCGTTTTTGATTTCGTTTCACAAAGAACTTTTTTTTTTTGGTGGTATAGTAAGGCCGGCAAACTCACGTTTTTGCTTACCGTTCTTTTTTTTTTTTTTAGTTTGACAAGCAGAGAAAAAAGACGCTCATGTTGTACCTTGCGTCAGGAGTGCCCTCGTTTTCTTGACCGTACTTTCTCACTATGCTGGAGGAATCCATACCTTTCCATTTATCCATGTAAAAACTTTAAAAAGAAACCTGTTTTTTTTTGTTTGTTTTTTTTGAACGGCGACGGTAGTGATTTCGCATTTCGCTTGTATGCTTTAACTGAACCCTAAAGATGAATGAGCACACTTTTTGTTATCAACAATTTAGAATTTGCGGCTCACGACTGCCCAGCCACGGCCCGGGCCGACCCGGGCCGGCGTGGCCCGAAAAGTATTTTGTTCAAGGCCGAGACCGGCCCGGGTCCCAGAAAAAGCTACTACCCGGCCCGAGCCCGGCCCGTGGGCCGGACCGGGCTCGGGCTTCGGGCTGGCCCGGACCTGTGCAGTGCTCCAATTGGCACACATAGCTCGGATATTGCAATATCGCCATGATATTTCTCAGGGATGTCCCTTGGATGTACTTATGTTGTCCGGGCACGCCGCACAGCGACGCGGCGCCGCTCGGTTCTTGCTTCATGTGTGTCATACTTTCATATGACTCGCCACCGACTGTCGCAGCTGTGTACAAAGTTCGTTGGATTAAGTCTAACTCACAGCGAAGAGTCGCGTGCTACCGCAGGCAACTTTCGGCTGGAAGTTACGCGGGAAACTTACGTGATCAAGAACCGAGCGACGTGGCGCCGCCGAGCGATGCACCACGCGCAAAAAATCGCGCAGCAAGACAAATCCAGTCCGTTACGCCGCTTGTCACCGATCGCGACGCCTAGGGTTGCATAACCAGACTAGGCCCTTTCAGAAATCCAGTGCCACCTAGCGGCTCAAATATCCGTCTTAATTTCTGTATGCTAATGGCGATTAAAATGTAATACCTATTCGTCAAAGGCAGACGCCCGAGGGATGTTCTTCGCTGTACCGTTATTTCTCTAAATCTAGATTGACCCAAGATTGCGGAGACGACAAAGAAGGCTAGGAAGAAGGAAATAACTATTTCCGCTCTCTCGGTTAATTCTACAATTATGAACTTCTACCAGCTCGGTTGCAACCTCCCGTTTTGTTATTTCTCTATTTGTTTCAGCTGCTGCTCGACGGCATAAACGCGTCCGTGAAAGAGAACATGGTCGATGTGTAGGCGCCGACGGTTTCACTCCGGGTGTCAGGATCAACGAACGTCAAGCGGCACGTAGTAGAGAACGCTGCCGAGCCAGGAATGGACACGCTGGTGCGACCAAGCAATTCGTGCAGCTCCTCCGCTAGAACGTATTTTGTGCTAGCTGTTCTGTGTGTGATCGCTTTTGATTTATGCGAGATACGCGCGATGGAACATCACCGGAATTTTAGTCAGTAACGACGCAATATCATCCACATATCGTACCAGCTGAGGCTGTCTGTTTACATCACGACGCCTTGGCGTCTGGGCACTTTTTTGTCCCACTCGAGCGTTACGCTTTATTGATGAAATCCTGCCCATTAACACATTATATGTTAAACATTATAACGCAGTATACGTTTTGTTGTCTGGTTAAAGTAAATAATGCTTATCTTTGTTTTTTGTGTACGCTTGTTATTGCACCCACTCAGTGCTACGGCGTATAAAAAGATTACAAATATGCATCAGAAATAGGTTTGTTATTATTGGTATTTTCCCCTTAGTGTAATGTATTCTCAAATTTTACTTTGTGCAAATACGCTTCACGTACTGTTCACATGCCCATCATATACGTATCGCAATACGTACTTTTACACGTATTTTAGCATTAACTTTCAGCCATCTTTGCCAGATATCCGAGTATTGTCTTTTCAATCAAGTTTAGGGTATTTCTGTCCATCCGCGGTTCGATTCAAATGTGGTTAGCTGAAGCACGAAATTTTGCGATATATACCTCCGTTGCGGTATATAATGGTGCGATATATAACGCCTCCTTAAAATGAAAAAAAAATATTTCGGTCATTGTTGAAGGCATGTTTTCGAGCTTAAGATACAGAGCCCGAAACTAAACCTTAGGCTATCTTAACAGGAAAATTACACGTGTTAAGATATCTAGAGATAGCGAACATATATCAAAGTCTCCATATCCAAAATGTTAGCATATCGAACAAGATGGCCCATCACCTTAGTTCTCAAAGTACAACGCTTTAATTTAACGAACGGTACTGTACATTTTCCAATAGACACTATCATTTGAGAAACATTTGATGGGCTGACTACTATGATTCGGAATTTTGGCAACGCTACTGAAGATGATTTTCAGATGTATAGCAGACCAGCAGTTTTCTCAAAAGACCACAAGAAAACCGCGTCTCTTTTGTTTCATTTGAAAGCAGTTTGAAGAAAATTATAACTACCAAGATAACCACATATTTCAAATTTTTTTTAACTTATACTCTCCGCGCGCTTGGTTACTACTACTCACATCGAAGTGCCCAAGGTTCCAGGGCTCGAAGTCCGCGCACTAGTTTCAGGAGGCCGACGGTGCAGGATGATGACACGTCCGCCTGAAGCAGCTTTCGCGTTAGCGTGTTGGAAGAGCCATCCAGGAGGTTGCCAATAAATCCTCGCAGTGCAGTCATCACGTCGGGCGGCTTCAGAGTGGTTGTTTCTTCTACGGCACTTTGGTTGAAGCACAAACCAGACACTATGAAGCACATGAAGCATCCGGCAGTCAGAAGAACCATCATTTTTTTTTAGGTCAGCACCCCGATAAAGAATAAATCTTAAGCTGACGCAAAACTTGATATTTTGAGAACTACACGGATTGTGACAAGAGCTGACTTAGCAAAACAATGAATTTCACGAATTGGCTAAACGTGATGAAGCGACAATGTTCTCTAACTTTCTTATTCTGTCACATGCGGCTGAAAGTTTAAATCTTCTGAACTTTGAAGACACAAGCGTCATGGCGTTCACGGTTTTGCTCTTTCACTTCGACGAACCACAGAACACCTTGAAAGAAATCGTGGGCATAGAATTGCCGTCCGGAAAATCTCCAAGAAGGACAACGGAAAAAGAGTTCGTGTCACGCACGTTTCAGAATCTGAGGACACGAGGATAAGCTTCTGCAGGAAGTGTGAAAGCGTACAGGCAGAACGAGAAGCAACAAACAAGTTTGTCCTGCCTCAGGTCGACGAAGCGAATCTTCTGCACCTATAGATTTTTTTTCTTAACTTTTTTGTGTTCCATAGTTTTTGCTTACTTTCATGACCTCGCGTGTATACAGTTCGGCTCACGTGGAAAGAATGCCCTTTAGCGGAAAACGTAATAGAATGGCGTGACAATCTAAGAATGAATCCACCCGCAAAAAAACCGTTTTTTAAAGTTTATTTTCTTTAATTCTGGAGTTGAGGGGCCATGTGAAATACTGCTGATATCTGCGGCAGCACTAATTTCAGCTGTCTCGAATTACTCTATTTTTGAACAGAACTTAGAACAAGAAGGGCCGCCAACCAGCCTATGAGCGAGACACAGAAATTTCGCAGGGTTGTACATGCTGCTACGCTCCTCGGAGAACGACAAAAAGTACTGGTTCAAGACGCAGTCACATATTGGGTGTCATCGTTGCGCGCCATGCCCCGAAAGCCACGGGTTCACTTTTGCGGCCACCTTTTATCAGGGGTGGAGTGTCTTTCACATGGCTGAAAGCGCTTGACCACTTACCAGAGGTGGTGGCCAGAAATGATTAGCATATGGCAGTGTTGTACAACCCTTGTGCCCACAACGTTTATGCGATGTCTTTCTCTTCGAACATCTGGTTAACAAGCTAAAAAAACAAAACAAAAAAAAAAACACGAGCGATGAAACTTTTTTTTAATATACACAAAAATGTAGATATGTGCTCTATGGTAACTCACTGATTAAGAAAGGCTTGGTGTCTCTTTTGAACGCCAGGCGTCCAGCACAAGATCAATGACATTCGGAAACAGGCTACTAGACACTGCCGCTCGCCTCACGCGAGCGTTTCCAACACTGCCGCTCGCCTCACGCGAGCGGCAGTGTTGGAACCTGAGCCGCTCGCGTGAGGCGCGCGATCTAGACTTTTGGGGTAAATCACCAAAGGTGTCGACCAAATGTCGACACCGGCACATCGCTAGAGTAGGGTGGTGGCTGAGCGCGTGCGCCGTGATTAGGGCGCGTCCAACGTTAACTCGCAGTTATTCGACAAGCTTCTGTGAACGCTTTGCGCTTTTCCGTGACGCGTTGGCTCGGTTGTGCTCGCTGTGCTATCAGCCCGCGCTGTGGACAGAAGCGACGGAACCGTTGGAACGTTGAATACGCGTTGCCTGTGGTGGAAAGTGATTCCATCGTGGTTTTAATGGCGAACATAACGTTTGCGCGGAAGTTCGTGCAAGAAGAGTGCGTCGTTTGAGAGCAGTCCTTTTCCGTTGACCGAGGAGGCCTTGCCGCCTGCATGGTGGCACCAGGAACGCTGTCCGCCCGTGCCTGCTCGCATGCAGGCCACAGAGATGAACCGTTTTTGAATGACGTTCTTCCGGTGAGCTTGCCAACCGCTAGATCTAAGAACTCTGAGCGCATTGGCGCGTTACGGACGGCTGCGAACGCCCAATTGTACATACGCCGAACTTGGCGAGTTGCCGCGACCTGTTACTCTTGTGACGACTGCATGCTGCGATTGGTTTCTACGCGAGCAGCCTGACGCGCTCCCATTGCCGAGTAATGCCGGTTCAAAATCTGCCCCGTTTTCTAGTACACTGTACTTCGGCGGTGCTTTCCTACGCGCGCGCACGGTGTGCATGAGACTCTGTAGCGAGGTGGACCAGCTGAAACGCTTCCCTGCCGTTCTTCCATTGTCAGTGGCCAGATAATTGCCCCGCAGATTAAAGCAGTTATTCTGACGTGGCACATGCTTTTGCATGCCGTTCCCAAAAAAGGTTGTCGTCTGGTTTTTTAAACCTTACAGTTGTGCATCATCAAGACTGCCACTCGCCACAGACGCGTAATATCTTTGGAAGAAACTGCTTGAAGCTTCGGGAAGGACAAGCAGACGTTCTTGATGGGGTCAAGGAAGAACATCTTTGGCGACTGACAGTCTTGTTGAGCTTGTGATAAGGTAAACGAGAACCCATATGGCCACCTTCTTTAGGGAAAGTGTAGAAAACCTAGTTGCACTTCGTGCCAACTTCTAAATTCGTGCAGTGATTATGTTGATTTAGAGTAAGTGTCTACATTTTGTGTATATTTAAAAAAAAAGGCAGTTTTCATCACGTTCATTTTTTCGTGACCAGTTCATCCGAATTAAAAAAACACAACAACCGTAGGATGCTTTGGTTTTTGGAGAAATATTTTAATAACTTGAAAGGCAGCTATTTTAGACTGCTTCCAGCATAAAGTTTACTGCAAGGACCCAAGTAGTATTAGTTAATGAGGCTAGAAATTACTTGGCAACCAAGCTTTCCCAGTGCTACTGTGTCTTTATCTCGTGCGATATGCTCTTGATATACCAGGTGCGCAGGGACGCCATCTGGCTTTCTATCACACTGCTTCTATCCTTAACAAAATATAGCCGATGTTTCCTCGATCTTCACAGTGAAAAACGTCGAGGCTTTCGTGCTCGATTGCGTCTCCTCGGTAGTGGAGTTCCAGAAATTCTCGGTAGCTGAGTGCCAGGAACAGGCTGAGTATATTCTTGCTGATATCCAGCTGTTATGGCTTGAGGCACCGCATGGGCAGGAGCACCTTGTGGTAGAGCCTCAGCGAAAGCGGGCACAGTCTCACCAGAGGGAGCGAAGCCACGGGACAGCGGGGCAGTGACGAGTAGACACTCACATTTTCCCAGGGGCGTCATCTGGCTATCTATCACAGGCAGCTCTTGAAAAAGACGCCAGTTGCGCCGTCGAGGAAAAAAGAAACAAAATCAAAACCCTAGCCGAAGTAGCTCGATCAAAGTTAAATTTCCTTTTTTTAACAAGTTAATTTTTTTTACAAGCTAAGATATAATTAGATACGAAGCCGTACTAATAGTCAATTAGAACATTCTCGGAACAAGACAAGTAGTCGTCACAAGGTATTTATGTGAAACCAAACTGCTAGCGATCCTCCATGCATGGCTGCTCGCAACCTATTCGGCGACTAAAAATGAACCTGTTAGAGAGACACTGACATTGTATTTACCTTCGTGGTGTGCATAAGAAGAAAAACGTTATTAATGAAGCAGTATTTTACGACGTCATTAACTATGTTGTGAAAATTTCTTCAACATTTCCTCAAGGATCGGGCGAATCGAAAAATTAATACGTCAGTAAGACGTCTAAGGATATAAGGGCATTTTCAGACAAGATCGAACAACCATGTTCGGTAACCATTTTAATTTTGATGAAAAAAAAATATTTTGCTGGCTTTATGCCCAGAAGTATAAAACCAATCCTTGTTATCAAAAAATTGTTTTTGTGTTTGCGAACAAATTTTGTAAGCACCCTCTCAGACACGTGCACTTTTTGCGTATCGCGCTACGTTGACATTTCGGGCGGCTTCCCCAAAAAAACTGTTCTGGCTACGGGTCTAGAAATATTCTCAGACAAATAAGGCACAGGAAGGATTTACAAAAAGTATTAATCTCCGAGTATTAAAGTTGTTATTGTGAGAAACGAAAACCGCAAACTCGGCACTTTGCACAATAACGCTCTGGATGAAAGAATATTTTCTTCGTATCTATAAAATATAAGGTTTTCAAACTTTGCAAGTGTGTTGCCTTGTAAATAGTTCATCTTTGCTTAAAATATTGTTGTGCTCTTTAGCGCGAAAATTTACAAGAATTGCTCACACAGGGGCATTTAACTAAAATGCATTATTTTGACAATCATTAAAAAAAAGACTATCTTTAATACCTTTCAAACTCTCTGAAATTAACGTTTATAATAAGTACTAACAGAGTCTGCAAAAACGTCATGCAATATTCGTGTGGCTTTTAAGTTATAAAAGGAGAAATATGGCCGTATTGACGCTAACGCGGTTGCCATAAATGGGGCGTGCACATACCCGTTCTTCACAATTTTATTATTATTATTAAAAAGCGTCAAAATACTACGGGTGGTTAGGAAAAGACAAGTTAACAGGACAAAGGAGGACGGTAGTTTTGAAGGGAAAATTGCTAATACATTTTCGTACAACCGACCCAAAAATGTCCATGGACCGGAGCTATTGAGGTTCGCCACCCTGTAACATGCTTCGCACTGTCTGTTTCAATAGCTGGCGTTTAGCGTCTCCGTCTACGCGACACAAAGGAAGCAACCGGGGCGACTTTGGAAACAGATAAGCCTATAAGCTTGGTGGTAACATAATATCGGAGGTAGGGCACGGCAGAACCTGAACCTGCGGCCCCTGTAGGCGCCGATAGATCCGCCGCTGTGGAGGGCCGCACAATGCGTAGAAAATAAAAGATACTTAAAAAAAAATCCGATTGCCTGAGATTGTTTGTATTGGGTATTTTCATAAAGAATGAATGACCATGTCCGGCCGACATTTTCTTTTTCTTTTTACCAAAATATATATTTTATTTGTGTGCAACCGCAAAAACATATTCAAACGTTTTTTGTGGAAAATAAAATTTCTCTCGACGAAAAAAAATCACATAGTCGCTGTCGGTACACGCGCTCGTTTTTGCGACTTACGTGAAACCGTCCTTTGGGATATTTATAAGAGAAAAGTTGTTGTCGTCTTAGGTTTA